GGAGGACGCCCGCGTGCGCGTGCTGGACGGCGGCCGCTTCCTGCAGCTCGGAGCGCCGCTGCGGACGGACAGCGGTGACTACAGCTGCACCGCCAGCAACGCGCTGGGCAGCACCAGCCTGCGCTTCCACGTGGATGTTCACGGTGAGCAACGCACCAGGGACATTCCTGGGTGTGCTGGGGGCTGGCGCTAGCCCGAGCTCCCCTCCTTACAGCAATGCGTGTTCCTGTGGGGTCTGCTAGGGATAGGGTAATGGGATAACAGGAAAGGAGAGTTGGGCGCTGCCCAGGCCTAGGGGCTACTCTGAATTTCTTCACCCCCTGAGCTCTGTTTCTAACCATTACCTACTGTCCGGTGATGCCGCAGTGTCCCCAGGGATCCAGCCCGGCCCCGAAGTGGTGAGTGTGCCTGCGAACGGCTCGGCCGTGCTGCCCTGCCACGCGGAGGGGTGGCCTGTGCCGCAGGTGACGTGGCGGAAGGACGGACAGCTCCTGTCGCTCCCTGGGAACAGCCGGTACAGGACTCTGCAGCATCCGAGACAGCTCTCGGTCACGCCAGCCTCCACATCCATGGGCGTTTTGGCGTGCCAGGAGCAGGATGCTGCTGGAGGCGGGTGCATCTCAGCTGTGGAGGAGCCCGATGAGCCTTACAGGGCTCGCTATGCTTCCCGCAGGCTGCGGCTGCTGCCGGGGGGCTCCCTGCACATAGACCCCGTTCGGGCCCAGGATTCAGGCCACTACCTCTGTGTGGCCTCCAGCCCTGCCGGCTCTGCCCGCCGAGGCCTCGACCTGCATGTGCTGGGTAGGCGGAGGAGCCAGCCGGGTCCTGGGGGCTCACGGGCTGCTCAGAGCCCGGCTGTGCTGCCTCCATCCCCGCAAGCCCTTCGCGCGCCTGTGCCAAGGCACCCCTGCCCCTGGCTTGGTAATGCACGGTGGCTCCCGAGCCATCCCCCTCCATGTGCTCCTCTGCAGTCCCTCCTGCCATCGCCCCCGGGCCCTCCAGCATCACCGCAGTAGCACAACAGCCGGCCACACTGCCCTGCGAAGCCACCGGCTCCCCTGAGCCCCGCGTCACCTGGGCGAGGAATGGCCGTCCCCTGAACCTGCACATCCCACCCAGCGCCTACAGGTACAGGAACAGCCGTCCCCTGAACCTGCACATCGCGCCTGGCACCTACAGGGAGAGCAGCGGTGGTGGCCGCACGTCCCGGCGTGCTCCCCACGGCCAACGCGCTCTTCCCGCCGCAGGCTGCAGCCCTCCGGCTCGCTGCTGCTCGCCCGCCCCGGCCCCCAGGACGCCGGCACCTTC